GTATGATGTTAGCAGTATATTTTTCATAGGTGCCCTTCATCAAGTTAAAGACATTTCCCTAGACCCCCTCACTTTATGAGTGCTTTATCCTGAATGGATGTTGGATTTTGTCATATGCTTTTTCCACATCTATGGAAATGATGTGGTTTTGTTCTCTAGTCTATTAAAATGGTATATTATAATAATCGATAATTCATATGGTAAACCAACCTTGCATTCTGGGATAAATCCCACTTTGTCATGGTTTATAATCCTTTTTATGCATTACTACATTTGGTAGGCTGGCACTTTCCTGAAGATTTTTGCATCTATATTCATAAATGATACTGGTGTGTAGTTTTATTTTCTTATGATGTCTTTATCTGGTTTTTATATCAGGTTAAAACTTGTCTGAGAAATGTTTCCTCCACTTTTATTTTCTGGAATAGTTTTTGAAGGATTGATATAAATTTTTCTTTAAATATTTTGTCAGATTTACCAGTGAAGCCATCTGAGCATGGGTTCTTTCTGTGGGGATTATTTGAATTACTAATTCAATTTCTGTCTTGTTGTAGATACATTAAGATGTTCTATTTCTTCTTAAATCAGTTTCAGTAATTTGCATTTTTCTAGGATGTTGTCCATTTCATCTAAGTTATCTAATTTATTGACACATCATTCTTCTCTTACAACCCTTTTTATTTCTATAGGGTCAATAGTCCTCACTTTCAGTCTTGATTCTAGTTGAGTCTTCTCTCTTTTTTGCTTAGTCCATCCAGCTAAACATTTATCAATTCTGTTGACCTTTTCAAAGATACAACTTGTGGTTTTGTTTATTTTCTTATTTTTCTATTCTCAATTTCATTGACCTCTGCTGTAATCCTTATTATTTCCTGTCTTCTACTATCTTTGCTTTACATTGCTCTTCTTTTTCTAGTTTTCTAAAATAAAAGTCTAGCTTATTGATTTCAGAACTTCTTTTTTAAAAATATAGACATTTACAACTATAAATTTTCCTCTAAGCACTGCTTTTGCAGCAGCCCATAAGTTTTGGCATGTTGGGTTTTCATTTTTATTTATCTCAAATTATTCTCTAATTTTCCTTTGGCTTTATTTTTCTTCTTTGACTTATTGGTTATTTAACAATGTTTTCTTTAATTTCCACATATTGGTGAATTTCAAAAACTTCTGTTGTTAAGATTTAATTCCATTGTGATGGAAAAAAAAAACTTTGTAAAATTTCATTCCTTGAATTTGAGACTTGTTTTATTGCCTCATAGATGCTCTATCTTGGAGAATGTACCAGGTGCACTTGAGAAGAATGTGTATTCTGCTATTTTTAGGAGTGTTCTATAGGTGTCTCTTAGATCTAGTGTTGTTCAAGTGTTCAGTATTCTTACTGATTTTCTACTGGTTGTTTCATTATTGAAAATGACCTATTGAGGTTTTTAATTATTATTGTGAAACAATCTATTTCTCCCTTCAGATATGTCCATTTTCCCTTTATGTATTTGGGGCTCTATCATTAGATTAATATATATTTATAATTATTACATCTTCCTAACAGATTAACCATTTTATCATTATAATATATACTTCTTTATCTCTACTGATAGTTTTTATCTTAAAGTCTCTTTTATCTGATACTACTAAAGCCACCCCAGTTCACTATGGTTCCATTTGCATTGTGTATCTTTTTCAAACCTTTTACATTCACCTATATGTATCTTTGTATTTAAAGAGTATCTTTTATAGACAGCAAACATATAGTTGGAACTTATTTGAGGTAAAAAAAAAATACTATCTACAATCTCTACCTTCTGATTGGCTTGTTTAATTCAGTCACATCTGATGTTCTTGTTATATGGTTGTATTTATGACTGCCATTTTTTTCTGTATTTTAAAAATGTGTTTTGTTATCTGTATGTCTCATGACTATTTGTTCCTCTGTTCTTTTACTACCTTGTTTTGTATTAAGTAGCCTTTGTCAAGTGTATCATCTTTAATTCCTTTAATAATTTGTTGAACTTTTTGGGGGGTTATTTTCTTAGTAATAACTCTAGGGGCAACAACATATATTTTAACTCATCAGAATCTACTGCAGATGTATCCAAACTAAATTCCAGTAAGATATACAAGCTTCACTTCTACATAGTTCTGGTCCTTTCCCCAACATTTTGTGTTGTTTTGTTGTACATATTATGTCTATATATGTTACAAATCAAATACCATATTGTTATAATTATTGTTTTACTTAAAGAAGTTAATAGAATACAAACATGCTTAAAGATATTTCTATCTTACCCATCTAAATACACATATACATTTATACAAATATATTTATATAGAACCATAGCTGTAGAAATATATTCATTCTTTCTTATTTGCCATTTCTGGTTCTCTTCATTTGTTTATGTGGATTTGAGTTACTATCTGCTGTTATTATTTTAATCCCATATAGCTTTACTTCCATCCCCCTCTAATGTGTTTATTGTCAGTTATATGTATACATGTTATAAGCCCAATAAAATGTTATATTATTTTATGAAATTGTCTTTAATCAGTTAATAGAAGAAAGGGAAAGAAATGTGTAATTATACTGTCCTTTATCATTAACTACATACTTATTGTTACTGTAACTCTTTATTTGTAAGGATTTGAATTACTATTTTGTGTCTCTTCCTTTCACCTGAAGAACTTCCCTTTAGTATTTTTTGTAAGGCAGGACAACTACCAATAAATTCTCTCAGTTTTTCTTTTTTTTTTTTTTTGAGACAGAGTTTCGCTCCCGTTACCCAGGCTGGAGTGCAATGGCACGATCTCGGCTCACTGCAACCTCTGCCTTCTGGGTTCAGGCAATTCTTCTGACTCGGCCTCCTGAGTAGCTGGAATTACAGGCACGCACCACTGTGCCAGCTAATTTTTTGTATTTTTAGTAGAGATGGGGTTCACCATGTTGACCAGGCTTCACCTTTATTTTTGAAAGATAACTTAGCTGGATATAGAATTCTTTTTTGGTAGCTTTTTTTCTTCAGCTCTTTAAATGTCATTTTCTTCCTTCTAGCCTCCATTGTTTCTAATGGCATGCCAGCTGTCAGTCTTATTATGATTTCCTTCTATGTATTTTTTTTCACTGCTTTCAAGACTTTATTTTCATGTTCAGAATTTTGATTATGATAAGTCTGGATGTGGATTTTTTTTCCACCTATACTACTTGGAATTCAATGAATTTCTTGAATGTAGTATTTTTCTTCAAATTTGTAAAACTTTTAGTCATTATTTTATTTCTGTATTTCTTTACATATTTTTTTCTTTTTCTCTGTCCTTTTTTGTTTTTAGAGATGGGTCTCACTCTTTTATCCAGGCTAGAGTGCAGTGTCTGTTCTTTCTTTCTGGTACTCTCAAAATGTATATGTAGATGTATTTAATGGTATACCACATTTCTCTGAGGCAGCGTTTATTTTCTTCATTTCTTTTTTTCCTCCTGCTTTCCTTAGTTCTTTGAACATATTTATAATCATTGCTTTGAATTCTTTACACAATAATTCCAACATCTTTGTATGATAAGCCCCCCTAAAATGTAGTTTCCACTGCCTGCTGTTTTTCCTAAGTATAGGTCACACTTTGCATGTTTCTTTGCATGGTTCACAGTTTTTTGTTGAAAACAATACTTTAGGTAAAATATTGTAGTAACTCTGGATACTGACTCCATCCACCCGTCCTGGGTTTGTGGTTATTTGTTTGGTCATTTGTTTTTCCGTTTGGTGATTTGGCTGGACTAATTCTGTGAAGTCCATTTCCCCCACAGCCTGTAGCCTCTGATATCTCTGCTCTGATTTTTTACTTGGGGTTATCTTTTAGCCTGGCTTTTTATGGATCACTCCTTTATAAGCCATTTTGTGGTAATTTTTATCCTCTACTGTCCAATATGTATGTGGATCGGAGACTGCTTTCATAATTCAGGGAGTTTTGTGGGTTTGCTCTACATTTAGCCAGGGACTGGTACTTTGGAAGTTTTGTCTCCAGCCACTCCTCAACGTATGCAGCCTTCAGCAGATACAGTCTTCGAGACCCAGTCATGATTATATTTCATTTTAAAGTGGGTAGAATAGATTATTGTGCAGTCAGTGATGCATCACAGTTGTACTATACTTATATCCCTGAGTCAGTAAGACATCAGCTCTTTGCTAATCAATCTGAATGTGGCTGGGGAATACTTTCAAGTCTGCATTACATCTTGCCCTGATTGCTACTGAGTAAGCAGAGCCCACGCTACAGACTCTAGGGATGAGTGAGCTCTTAGTGAGTCACATTAGCTGTATGTTTCCCTGCTTCTCTCTGTTATGCTTCTGGCTGGTCCTCTTTGTTTCTTTGTTGCTATTAGTTTCATGCAGCTATTAGCCTTCCAATTTTTCACCAACAAAAACATAATGTCTGCCTTACAGCCACATAATATAACTGTATTTCATACTTTTCTTACCTTTACAAAGTGACTGGAAAATAAAAGATTAGCCACTGAGTGGACACCCTAAACCAGGGGTTGGCAAGGTTTTTCAGTAGAAGGTCAGAGAGTAAATACTTTAGGCTTTGCAACCCACATGGTCTCTTGTAACTACTCAACTCTGTCATAGCACAAGAACACCAGATATAACATATAAATGAATGAGTGTGGCTATGTTTCAATAAAATATTACAGTTGACCCTTAAACAGTGTGAGAGTTGGAGGTACCAACCTACCGTGCAGTCAGAAATCCCATTATAAGTTTTGACTCCAAAAAAATTTAATTATTAATAGCCTACTTGTAGAAAAATTAAATTTGAAATAATATGTATTTCTTGCAATGCATATTTAAATAACGTCGCTACTTCCAATCGAGTATTAACATATTGAATTGCTAGTACCTTCGAGTTTCCTTCATTGCTGTTTGCTAAATTGGCCTACGTTTATGCTTTGATAGTATTATATTTTCAGCTTAGACTAAACTTTAAGTTTTGAATTTTCTTTATTTTGTTAACTGTAGATATCGTGTTGAAGGGATAATTCCAGAATCAGTAACTAAACTATCTGATGCCCTCTACCAAACTGGAGACAGAGTTACATGGGATAAATCATTGCAAGTGTATGATATGGTACACAGGATTGATTTGGTAATTTGTTGTTTATTACTAGACTTTTAGTACATTAATATATTTTTAGTTTATACCTTAGTGAGTTGAGTTTATTAAAACTATGTTATGTAGACAAAGTATTTTATAGTTTCAAATTGACTTGAAGTCTTTGTAAAAGCCTTAAAAGTTCCCTCGTTATTTTCCAAGGGTTTAATTCTAATTACCTTTATTCTGCTTGTAAATGTATATTACATTTTGAATCTGGTAAGCTCTCTTGCAATGTGTGCCATTTGTTATAAGGGAACAGAACTCAGGGATTCACCTCCATTCCATGGAAAACAAAGGTTAAATATGCCCCCTTGATGGGAAGTCTATAGACTTATTTTAGTCATATTACATTAGGTATTAGAAAACTTACAATCATGGCAGAAGGGGAAGCAAGCACATTTTTACCATGGCAAAGCAGGAGAGAGAGGAAGCACAAGGGGAGATGCCACACACTTTTAAACCGTCAGATCTCAGGAGAACTAACATCACAAGAACAGGAGCAATGCAGACACATACCATAAGGCTTAAAGAAAAACATCTTGTAATGTTTAATAGTAAGTGTATGAGACCGTTCTCACACTGCTCTGAGGAAATAGCCAAGACTGGGTAATTTATAAAGGAAAGAGGTTTAATTGACTCACAGTTCTGCATTGCTGGGGAGGCCTCAGGAAACGTATAATTATGGCAGAAGGCAAAGGAGAAGCAGGCATTTTCTTCACTGGGCAGCAGAACAGCATGGGGGGAAACTGCCCCCATGATCCAATTGTCTCCACCTGGTCCCTCCCTTGACATGTGGAGATTACAATTCAAAGTGAGATTTGGGTGGGGATACAGAGCCAAACCACACCAGTAAGGATAAAGTAAGGAAATAACATTATATAGAAGGTTGAAGTTTAGGAACTCTTTCAATTATATTATCTCAGTTAAATAGATATCAAGAGGGAGAATAAAACAAAGAAAAAACACAAAGGTAACTGGAGTAGAAAATTAAAGATACAGTTGAGGGAAGAGAAAATGTGAGAGACAAGTATGGTTTAGAGAGAGACAGAAGAAAGCATCAGTATGAGATAAGGGCAGAATGAAAGCTCAGGTGCAGAAAAAATGAATGAAATGACAGGAATAATGATACATGGTAAAAAGAGGTTGTATTAGTCTGTTTTCACACTGCTATAAGAACTACCTGAGCCTGGGTAATTTATGAAGAAAAGAAGTTTAATTGACTCAAAGTTCTATAGGCTTCCCAGGAAGCATAACTGGAAAGCCTCAGGAAATTTACAATCATGGCAGAAGGTGAAGGGGAACACTTTGGCATGAGATAACAGATAACTCTCTTGTTTCTTTGGCAGAACAGGAGAGAGAGGGAGCTAAGGGCGAGGTGCCACATTTAAACCATCAGATCTCATGAGAACTCATTATCATGAGAACAGTGATTGGGAAGTCTGCCTATGATTCAGTCACCTCCCACCAGGCCAATCCTCCAATTAAACATGGTATTTGGGCAGGTACACAAATCCAAACCATATCAGAAGTAGCAACAAGGATGAAGAAGTAGGATAAGTGATTCTAAACTTTGGTTCAGCACACTTTAGATATCTCATTTATTTATTAAAGCCATTATAAAAATAACCACCTGAGGGATGGGGGGATGATTCTTTTCTCTTCCTGTAATGTATTAAAATTCATTCCCTATTTCTGTTACTATTTGTGTTTTCTCCCTCTTAGGAAATCTGTCTGTGGGGGAATCCTGACTTTGTTCCAACCTCTCCCAGACTGATGTGTATGTTCTTTTGACTAATTAATTCACTTAACTAATACTTTTTGAGCAACTGTTGTGAACTACATACTGTTTCAGGCACTAGGGACACATAAGGGAAGAAGAAGAAATTGTCCCTGCTTTCACAAAACTTACATTCTCATCAGAAGAGACATAATAAATAAACAATTTTTAAAAACTTACTGGATAATGAAGGCTAGGATTGGTAATGAGTATTATGAAGGATAATAGTAATATCCTTATTACTATTATTAACAATGGTAATAACCAGGAGAAGCTAATTGATAGCTAGAGAATTGGGAAAGGCCTCTCTGAGTGAGAGACTTTAGAAACCTTGGTAACAAAATGGAGGTTAGGGAGATAGACATGCAAAGATCTGGGAGAGAGTAGCAGACATAGGGGAAAGCAAATGCAAAGGCCTTGTGGTGGGGAGTTTGGCAGTGTTCAATTGAGGTAAACAAGGTCCGCAGGGTTTGACCATATAAAGCAAGAAGAGTTTGTTAAGAGGTGAGAGGTTAGGCATGGATCAGATTCTGCAAGAGTCTTAAAGGTCAGGGGGAGAAGTTTTGCTCTACATTCAGTGGGAAGCCATTGGAGTGTTTTAAGCAAGGAAGTGACTAATTTGATTTACACTTTTGAGAGACAGCTGCTGAAAAGAGCATGGATTGTTAGGGGTAAGAATGAAATCACCAAGAACAGTTAGGAGGCTATGAGAGTAATCTAAATGAGACATCATGGTGACTTGTGCTAGGATGGTAGACATAGAGATGGAGGTAAGTCAGGGAACCCAAAGATAGTCAGTAGGGCTGACTGATGCAGAAAGAGAGGAATCAGGTAAGTCTTCTAAAACTGGATTGTGTTGTAATTGCACAAATAAATTTCCTTTAGGAAACTCATTGAACTGTATACTTAAATTAGGTGAATTTATGGTATTCACCTGTATCACTCAAGCTGTTTTTAAAAATGAGTCCTAGATTTCTGGCTAATAACTTTATTTAAAAGAGGTAAGAAATGTGAATGATTGAATAAAGGAAATTGTTATGATTTTCACAAATAATTATATTTGTAAAATTTCAGATCACTAGGCCTCTGGTTCTTTAATTCTCCAATCTGCATTCCATTTATCAAAGCAAACAAAAATAAATAAATAAGCCATATATCTGCTATCATCTTATCATTTACTTAGAATTCTGTAGTTTTACCTACTTTTATTAAACTGATCTTAAAATATGGGAGAAAAGAGTTGTAGAAAAGCCCATGAAGGTGAATCTGTTTCATCATGTAGAAAGTTCTTGATCTTCATCTTGTAAATCAGTTCTATTTTGTAGAGAGTAAGTTCCTATCCACAAAAAACATGTGTCCATGACCTTGGGATTTGAACATTCAGTTTGAGAACCATTGGGCATCACAAATGAAAATCCAAAAATTAAACTATTTCATTTATCTTTGTATGATACTAATCATACAGTTTGATTAGTACTTCAGATATTTCTATTGTTGTTGCAAATCATACGTTATAATAGAATACTAGATGTGACATCCAAAAACCTGAAAACAAATTCAGAGATTATGTGACTTACTCAAGGATAATGCAGCCAGTATGTGGTAGAACCAGGACTTGTACCCAGTCTCCTAATTCCAAATTTTGTGCCCTTTCCAGTATACCGTGTATCTCTGAATAGCATTATACTGCAAGAGGAATTATTTTACCCTTCTGTTAATATTTATAGTATTCATCTCCAGGACTATGTTTTATTTAGTTAGTTATTTTTATAATAATAATTATTTTTTTGGAGATAGGATCTCACTCTATTGCCCAGGCTAAAGTGCAGTGGTGTAATCAAAGCTCACTCTAGCCTCAAACTCCTGGGTTCAAGCAATCCTCCTACCTGAGCCTCCCAAGTAGCTGGAATTACAGGCATGTGCCACCATGCCCGGTCAAGGATGTATTTTAACCGCCTCCTCTTCAACCTACTGGTGAGGGAGAGAGTCCCACTCTAGGGTTATAGGGATCGCCAAACACATAATACTCACCACAGGAGAAGTGAGGTAGACTGAAGTTTATTAATCATTAATCACAGATCAGGGAGAGAGGAAAAACTATGCCACACAGGGCAACATGGCAACAGAGTCAATACCTACAGGCTGTGGGAGGCAGCCTTTGCATCAACAGCATAGGGTGAGCCCCAGTTACTGCAGGAGAATGTGATTGACTTGTTTGAATGATTCCATGGGCCATCAGAGAAATGAAACCACTAAACAGAAATAAAAAATAGTAACTATGCTGGTCCTGTTGAGAAGCAGGGTTGTTTGGCTAGGGTATCTTATCTGCAGGAAGAAGGAAAGGAATGTGCAGTTAGGCCATTCAGGACACCCCTGGTTTCACCCTATGCTGGTTTTCTTATTTCTGGAACGGGTCGACTTGGGTAAATGAATTTGCAGAAAGTGAAACAAATTATAAGAGGAAACTACTATGTTCTCAATCTAGCAATTTATGGCACTGTAAAAATAGTCTAAGCCCTGCATAAAGAAAAATGTAAGAAAATGGATGATCACAGTATTTGTTGGAATGGTAGTCTTCCTTAAAAATGTTATAAAACTGTATTCCCCCTTGCACATTTTTAAGTTGACATTAAAATTTTTCATAGGATTACATTGATGAAAAGTACAATTCCCAGCATGTGCGAAATACTGACATTTTAAGAAATGGTTATATCATCCTTATAAACATATAAAGTATAAATACCATAACTTGACACCCACCATTAAGTTATCCATTTCAAAATATATACAACCTTTAACAGAACATTTACATCATTCCATTCCTCCTTGAACTCACATTTTTATTTTTCCCCTTCATATAATTTTATTCTAATAGAATCTATTTTATGCTTTGAATTCTTTCATGGTCATCCTAATTCTCCATAAAAATAACATATGTTTAAAGTTTTAAAATTTGTTTTATTTCCTATAACCATACTATCTAACAATTAAAAATACATATATGCCTTCTGGATAAAGTTGTTATAACATATTGATCACAATTTAAAATATTTAATTACAAATTTAAATACAAGTTTTGTTACAATTATTAAACATAATGCAAACTCATTAGAAACATGTGTTTTATTATTAGCAAAACTGAAACAGCACTTACTAGTGGTAGGCACTGTTATAAACAATTTGCATATATTGACTCATTTGATCTTCAAAGTAA